CAATAATCTTTAGAATCAGACCCTTCCTCTCGCCAACAACTGCACACACAAACACACACCATTATAAAGCCCTCATACTACATTAAAAGGTTAAAAAAAAAAAATTACAGGGAAGTTTCTTCCAAAGCATAGTATTATGGATTAAGGGAAAAAGTCAGCCCCCTGCCCAAGGACGTAGCCCCCTTAGGACCAGAGTGCACTTCCTGGCTACTGTTCTGGGTTGCCCAATTTAAAAGGAAGATTTGAATGAAAAAGCGTCATATATCCTCCCCTGAGAATTTCTAGCTCTCGCCTGGCGTCTGGGCTCACAGTGCACGCCGTTCTGACCGCATACCTTGCTGTAGCCTCACCCTCTGGCTCCTTCTGCTTGTCTCAGGGTTCTCAGTCTTGACCCTTGGTCCATTTTACTTGCTCACACATACCTCCAACCAAAACCTACTCCCGTTGAGTTGATTCCAACTCAACTCAGTCAGAGTAGAACTGCCCCATAGGGTTTCCAAGGCTGCAAATCTTTTCTGGAAGCAGACTGCCACAGCTGTCTCCCATGGAGCGGCTGAGAGGTTTGAACTGATGACCTTGTGGTTAACAGTCAAGCGCTTTAACCACTGCACCCCCAGGATTCCTTTCACATACCTTAGGTCTCAGTATTTTTCAACATGCCCTACAGCCCCTCCCTTCCTCACTGCCATCCGGACTCACCTAGTCAGACCATTGCTTTCTCGGAGCCTGGCCAAGGAGCTGGACCGCAGATGAACAGCTTCTCTACTGGCCCCCATGAGCCTCTCCCAAATAAAGGAGAGGAAATGAGAGACATCGGCAGGCCTGCAGGGGAGATACTTCAGCCCCTCCACCTCCTTCAAATGGTAGAACCAGGGGAAAAAGTCAGAATATCCTGAGTCTGACGATGTGGAAATGGGGCCAAAGGAATTAGGTGACTTGCCCAAGGACATTTCAAATTAGAAACTGGGTCAGCTCTGACCATCAACCTCCAGGTGCCCAGTCTAGTCTATCTGTATCACGCACGCCACACTGCTTCACACCCTGAATGCTGTTGTTGTGTTGTTGTGGGCTATCAGGTAGATTCCAACTCATGGCGACCCTATAAGACAGGAAGAACCGCCCCACACGATTTCCTGGGCTGCAATCCTCACAGGGGAAACCTGTAAAACAGTGGTTAAGTGTAGCTTAACCAACCAAAAGGTCGGCAGTTCGAATCCACCAGCCTTTCCTTGGAAACTCTATGGGGCAGTTCTACTCTGTTCTGTAGGGTCGCTATGAGTTGGAATCAACCCGATGGCAACGGGTGTAATCTTTACAGGAGCAGATCGCCAGGTCTTTCTCCCACTGAGTGGCTGGTGGGTTTGAGTTGCCTACCTTTTGGTTAGCAGCTGAGCAAGTAAACACTGTGCCACCAGGGCTCCTTTGTATACAATTACTATCCCATTTATTCATAAATCAGTCCTTGTATGAGAGGGTACAGTGTGAAGAAAAGGAAAGATATGTTAGTTGATACCACTGATATCACTACAGCTTGTTTATTTATTATTTAAAATAGAACCAGTAAATTAAATGAAATGATTAAGAGCCACATCAAGGACAGAGCAAGAGGGCCTGGGAGGAGAGCTGTACTAGAAAAAAATAATAGCAAACATTTTGGAGGGTCTTCTATGTGCCAGGTTCTGTGCTGGGACTTCTCATTTGTCCTCTTCAACCCTCTCAATATTCCTGCCAGATAAGCATCATCATTTTCAATTTACCTTGCGAGGCAGCTAAGTTCTGAGAAGTGAAGTAACCTGCCCCAGGTCACAAAACTAGTCAGTGGCGTGGCCAGGATGTGAACTCAGGACTATTAGACGGGAAGCCCAAGCTATTTTCC